CCCTCTTCCATTGACGTGCCTACAGTAACAAGCAGCACTTCCTCCTCCCTGGCTTTGGAGCTGGTGAGCAGTGTGTGTGTATGTGTGTGTTCTCTCCCGCCACGTAATCTAGGTCGGTGTTTTGCTTACCTGCTTTTCTCCTCTAATGTGTTGCTCTCCCACGTAAAGACAGCTTATGGAAATCAACTGCCTTTGGATTGAAACAAGTCCTGAATGATTTCCAGATGGTAATTTTTTTGATCTGCATTTAAGGGTTTTTTTTTTCCCTAAAGCATTTACTGGCTATTTTTGTACAGATCCTCTGTTTATTTACATATATTCTGTGGTATATAGTGAAGTCAGTGATTTTTCTTTTCCTTTTTCGCTTTATACAGTTCTGTCTTTAAAATATTTATGCAGCAATTTGTCTCAAATACCCAAGGGATTATTGTTTGTTTGTTTTACTATAGCATGATAACTAATCCTTCCAAGATTACTGTTTAAATTCTTTTTTCCTTTCTTGTGGTGTCTTAAGTAGAGAATTACAGCGGGTTTAGAAATCAGATATGCTTTGCTGCACTGAAGAAATCTTGTCTGTAGGTCTTAGATAGACAAATATTGTTTAGACATGCTCTGTGTATGTCATACTAGATGGTACAAAACGCAGGATCGACTGGTACAAAGCACAAGTCGAGTCCTTGAGAAGAGAGCGATGCTGTTAAATAACATTCCCTGTAGGGGAATGGCTTTGGACTCCTGTGAAAGCCAGCCTTTGAAATCCTATATCAATAAAATATTGCCATGGCAGGGAAGGTCAGTTTATGAAATGAGTACAAAAACTTGTATTCTCTTTACTTTAACAGCAAGAGTAATTTCTACCAGTTGGCATAGGATTCATTTCCTGTAACAGAAAGCAGGATTTCCTAAATTTGTTTCCTGTGCACGCTGCCATTTAGGAGTCTTGAAGTATCTTTATTCAGATATCGGTTACAGCCTTGGGGCTCTGCAAGCGTGTCAGTTGTAGCCATACAGTAACTAACAGGGGAAATGAAATAGATATAATCTGATCAGAGATAAGAGTGCCTGGGATTCCTGGGCAAACAGTCTTTAACCCTGACAACCCGCCGCAGCTGCCAGGACATGAAAGGGTGCACCGATCAATTGGTTTCTGCCTGTTGTCTGTCGGCCTAGGCAACCCTAAATGGGACGTTTGTAGAGCAACTCATGGCACAGAAGGATCAATTTGTCTCTTTAGAATGAAATTTATTAGTCGATATCCACTTCAGTGGTGGCTTGGGTAATTTGATTGTCGGAAAGAGCAAAGTTTGGGGGATAGTGTGCTGAGCTGCTGTAGCTGCTCTGCTTTGTAATGCTCAGATCTGTATCTGACTTGGCCTGGGCGCAGCTGCAAACTCCTGGAGTGCGGTCAGGGACTTCATTGACTTCCCCTTGTCAGTGAGCATGGGCTCTCTTGAAGACCCTCTTGTTTGAGGGTTTTCATGCCTGCTTTTAAATCGCCTCGGTTTAAGCTGTAAACATATTTTTGCATCTTGAATGTTTCTCATCTTTTCGCTGTGACTGAGAGCACCTCTTGTTATCTGTTTGCACGGTGCAGAGTAAACCTCTTCTGTCTCGCACCGAGCTGGGAACGTGCCCCCCGTCCCGGGCTGCCCAGGCCCTACCAGAAGAGCCATCCGCGCTTTTGTTGCCGTTGGTGTTGTCCGCTGGTGCCGTGGCACTTTCCCAGAGGCTGGGCCCATTGTGTTGCCTGTTGAATGGGGATGGTAATTTCAATGCTTTTAGTACATCTGATAGGAACACTTCAAAATTATATCACTTTCTCTCTCAGTAATTATTCATTAAGTACTATAGAGGCTGGGAAGTGGCATGTTCAAAGAGGTCGGCCCCACTTCCCCTCGGGTGCTGAATGCGGTTCACCTAGAGGGCCATTAAGGGCTGACAGGACCCATGCCTGCTTGGGAGCAGCATGGGAAAGGGGGATTTCTTTCATTATTCTTCCCCTTCCATTGACGTACCTTTTTGTGGTCTCGGGGCCATCCGAAACGACTGGTGTTGCGCAATGCAATGCAGTTAGTTTGAAGCGTGTCATGTGCACGACGTAGCACCTCTGACGTGCTGCTCATCCATTCGTTCCTCTCTGCAAGGCTTTTCTTTCGGGAGGTTTAAATGCTTCCTGAGAGGATTTAAATGAGACGCTGGCAGGGAAGGAGGGAGGAGGTGTCTGTGAAAGAAAGTAGCAAAGGAGATGCTTTAACGGGCTGAGCTGGGAGCAGAGATTTGTATCTCCAGACGTTTGCAGTTTACCGACATAGGCAAATTAACAGCCAGTGCTGCGCACAGTGAACATCACCTAACATCATGCTGTGAAAAATTCTCGATAATTATTTATTAACCAGAGTATTAGAAACCCAAGCTCCATCCCTGCTCTGGGAGACCACTAGGAGGATTATCTAACTGCACACTTTAATGCACTAAGGATGGCTTGAAGAAACTTTTGAAAAAGATAAGCCTGAAATAGCCTTTGATTTGTTGTAATCTCTGTGAATAAGGCTGCAAAAACTTGCTAATATTAAAACAAATATTCAAATTGGTTTAAGGGTCTTTCAAGGCAAAGCCAACTCAACTAATTTTTTTTAATCTGGTGATTTATGAAAGGAAAAGTTTATTTCAGGTTGTCTTGTAAGCCTAATTGGGGATGAAAGGGAGCTGAGTCCACAAAAGATTCTCCAATTAGACCCAATTGTATCAATTCATGTAGTAAAATCTTGACTCAATGCAAGTATTTATAGATTCCATTTTTATCTGTATCTCATGTATGTGATTTCCTAAAATAAATTCCATTTTTGTCTAAGGTATTTGTGGTCACTTAAGGCAGTAAAGGCAGAACCTGAAAGGCACAAGGGATAATTAACCTTCAAGTCAGCAGCAAGCATATGGCCAGACTATTATGCTTTTGAAAATGTCACTGCAAAATACTTCCAGTATTTCGTGTCTGCTTGGAGAAAGTATCCCTTCATCCTTTCTGGAGGCCAGCGATATAGGGGCTCACGTCAGCTGCTGCTCCCATCCGTTATGTCAAGACAGCTTCTAGAGTTAAACCCCTGTATCTCAGCAGACTAAGTCTTAGATGTGTCAGCTGAGGTGGGGATTCTAGGGGGATTGTCAGGGAAGCAAAATAAAGGCTTTGGTCTTCTGTCATGACTCTGGTTGTGGTCTAGTGAAAGCTTGTAAAGAATTCAGTGTTGTAGGTCCTTAAATATTAGAAGCTGCAATCGGAATGATACCCACATAAGTTCAATCAAATGAGTTCTGGTGTGTGCCTTGAAAAATCTGGTGTTTGTTTTGGGTTTTTTGTTTTGGTTTGGTTTTTTTATGTTTGGGGAGAAGGGGTTCTCTGCTAAGAAGTGTCTGTGAGTCAGCCTTCAGCTGTCTGGCTGATCAGTAGAGAGGTTGAAAGATGTTGATGAATTGTTACTACCAAACAGAGTACAACACAGAGCTCATTTTGTTTGTTTGCTTTTTTAATATGAATTTTTAATGTGCTCTGCATTAGTGTTTCTGGCTTTGATACTGTAAATCCAGGGTGAATGCATCATTTTGAATTCTTGATTTCATAAACGGCAAGCTGGGAAATAGCATATTCAAAAACTAAGTGTTTGTAAAGAGATTTACCTGATGTGCTCAAGCAGAGGGTCGGGCACCCCAGGCCTGGGTGGAGGGTACCTGTGCCTGCCCTTGCTGAAGGGTTGTCCTTCAGGATGTGGCAGTCGAAGGCAGGGAGCTGACCACCTCCTGCTGAGAGTCCAGGACAGCCTGGTAGCTGAATCAGACAGGAGCTGGGCTGCCCAAACCCCAAAAATACTGTTAGTAAGCTTCTAACTTCAGAAAAAGCCCACTAGAAAGAGCCATATAGGAGCACCTGCGTATATGAACGAACCCACTCTATAGCACCATTGATGAGTAATGAACTTCTTTGCAGCCCCTGCCCGCTGTCCCCTCAGGGGAGGTGTGGTGTGGCCTGGCCGCCCTCACCATGTCCCTCTCCTCTCAGGTGGCCCTGGTACAGTGGACCGAGAGCGTGGGTTTAACGCTGGTGGGCAGAGACCAGTCCTCCGTGCAGCTGAGGACACCGGGTGGCCACATCCTGAACTTCACCATCCTCCAGATCTTCCCCTTCACTTATGAGAGCAAGCGCATGGGGATAATTGTTCGGGTAAGTGGCTTCTCATGTCTTTGTGAATCTTCTGCTAACACAACGTGAAACATAGAAAACATTTGCCCTCAGCTGTGCTGTTCTTCCTGCCTGAGTTTTGCATTCTCTCCTACCTCAGGCTATAAGCTGGTTCTCTGTTTTGAGCTAATAGCATTTCATCGCTGGGTTTGTTTAGTGATACATCCTTTTCCTTGGCCATATTTGGTGGTAAGTGCTGTAGTGCCCTGAGACATCTCTAGTTTATTGATCTTTGGTCCCTTGTTCAAAATAACAAGGAGCCTAAGCTTCCAGCTTCCTCCAGCTGCTCCTTCCTGCTCACATTTTCAATTCATCATGTACACTGGGGTGGGTTTCAGCCGTACAGCTCCTCTGTCTGCACACATCGGTTCCTGTCGGGCACCGCTGGGGACAATGTCAGGCTGGGGATGGGTGTCTGGCCAGTCCGTCAGCCAGCAGTGCCACCAACTGTGAAAGTGTATCTTCGGCAGTGCAATGGAGCCTCCAGGATGGTGCTGGGAAGGAAGAGGGAGCTCGAGCATTTCCCTCCAACTGTGAAACCGAGGGCCCTGGGGATGCTGGAAAATGTTGGGAGAGAATTTTTGCTACAAGTACAAGGTGGAAGGAGACATAGGAGGGACTGGTGGGGCAGAAGAGCTAAAATCTGAATGTTTTGGCTGTCTCTGTGCTGAACCAAGGCTCAACAGCTTTGATAATCAGCAGAGACGACGTGTTATCTCTCAGGTAAGGCTGTTGTTTCAGGAAAGCTTGAAGCCAGCACTGCCAGCAAAAGAAATAGAGTTACCCTGTCTCATGGGACCTGAATTGTGTGTCTCCCCCCACAGTGGCTGACACAGCAAGGAGGAAGAAGAGCCTGGTAGCGGCAGGACTACTCTCTCCAGGGGAGCAGGCACCAGCAGTGTGTCAGGGAAGCTTGAGCTGACTTTGAAGCCTCACTCTGTGTCTCTGGGGTTGTCTTTTCATCTGCCCAAAAGCTCCTGCCCTTCCTGTCGTGTCCATGCCGTGACCATGCTGGCAGAGCTGCGTGGGCTATATGGTCGAATGGGGCTGGAGGCGACCCAGGTCACAAGTGCTTTCCCCCCGGCGGGGTCAGCCAGGAGCAGGAACCAAAGCACAGGTTCACGGGCCCAGCTTACGCTGTGTTTCCAGAGCAGGTGTGGTGGTACAACAGGAGGTGATGGAGATGTCAGCAAGTGGGAAGGAGGGAGGGGATCCTGGACCGATGCCACAACAAATAGCTTCAGGATATTGTTAGAGGTATTGTGGAAGTGCTTCCCAGATCTCTGCCAGGCATCAAAACACCTGTTAGACCCTGCAGAAGTACAACGCTGCAGGAGGAGGCATTTATAGCTGCAGGGAACTGTGGAGATTTTTTTTTAAGCTGTTTAACAGAGCCCGCAGCCATGCTGAGAACACGGTGTCGTGAGCAGGGTTTGAAAATAGCTGATTTAAGGTAAAAAGGTGCATTTGTGCAAGGACCTTTATCAGCAGCAGCAGGCACTGCGCACGCTAAATACGTGCTGAAATTGTACACATAGCTTTGTGGTTTTACATACAAATACAATATAAGATTGGACTCTCAGAAAAAAATTACCTTAAAAAGAAAGAAGAAGAAGAAAGTGTGGGTGTTAAAAACAGTTGAGATCAGTTGTCACCATTATCATCATTAGTTTTCAAGATAGTGCTAGAGAATCAATGTTAGTAAGGTAAACAAAGCCAGCTATGGTAAGGCGCTTCCATTTGCCTGCAAAGCAAACAAGGTGAAGCAGTTTGAATAATTCTTTTGGAGATAATTAAAACATCCTTGTTATTTTTTACTGAGAGTACAGACAGATAATTGGTACCAGGAATCTAAAACATGAATATGAAACCTATAATCCAGGGCAAGATATGATTTGTTGTATCATTTCATAAGATCTTCAGCTTTGTTATTTTCCCTTTTGGGGAAATAACAGGGTGGGGAGAATAGGTAAAATTGGTGTGTTTTTTCTTTCCCTTCCCCTTCCCCCCCCCCCCTTTTTTTTCTTTTTCCCCCTCCATTTACTTTGTGACGAAACTGGGTTGCTGCGTGTTTATTTTGGGGCATCTGGAAATAGGGTGTAAAAATACCTTCTGCCTCACTTATTCTAAGTTACAACAGTAGGAAGAGCAGCCTTTGTTTTTAGTTAGAAACAGTTAGGATCAGTATCGCACACGTGGGTCTCATCGATGGCAGATTAATTTGGTCTGCTTTATTGGCTGACGTTTGGTAGCTTCACAAATCTCAGCTTCTCTGGACCCCTGGAAGAGCACAGCCCCTGTCAGAGACGGCACCATGAAGGGATGATGTAAAATGGAGCAATGCAGTGGTTGTATTCAACAACAACAAATATTACGGAGAACTTCAGTATTCCTGTTACCAAGAGATTTGGTGATAAAGATGGAACTGTAAAATGTGTATATAATTACTTTCGCAAACCCATGAAGGGCAAGCTGTGTTTAGTGCAGATTGACAATCATTAAAGCTCATGCAAATGGCTGTATCTGTGTTATCCTACCTGAGTATTTTGGGCCTGGATCTCCTGTTGCTCAAGGAACTGCTTTTAAGTTCTGGATCACACACCACAGTACAGTGTAGGGGGGACAAATCTGTATTTCAAGTTGTTCCAGACTGTGGAATATTAAAACGTGCCCAAGGGCAGGAACGTTAGTTGAAGTGGGCTGATAGGCTGAGCTTGTACAAAGTAATCAGTGTGTTAAATCTGTGAATCTAGAGATCCAACTGAATGCGTTTGAATTTACACAGTCATCAGTATTCCCACAAATGTCTCGTGCTCCTGTGGGATAGCTGCAACAAGTGTATCGCATATCCGTTTAAATACAGCAAGTGTAAATTCTTCAGATTAATTACTTTTATAGTGAAAATGATGTGGAGACTTCAGGCAAACTTTTCAAGACCTAGAATAAAAATATTAACAATAAAAGAGGGAGGACTAAACAACCTCCCTCCCCATTGCTTACTGTAAGTGCAAACTTTTGATGAGGTGCTGTTTTATCCAAGGTGTAAGAAGTGGGCTAACCTTCGAAGCCAGGGTATGCTTCATTAAATTGTATTTGTATGCTCAGCAGAGAAGTGGATGCCCTTAAATTTTCTCATCTAAGTGGGAAAGGGTTTTCTTCCCCCCCCCCCCCTTTGATTTGGGGCTCATTCCTTTTAAATTATCTATGATCTATATTCTCCCCCTTCAGGAAGAAAAAGGTTTCTATTTTGCATTTCAGTATTAGAATATTACTGCTGCCAAAACCAGCAAAACTCCCACTTGTGGTCGGTGGGAGCAAGATCAGGCCCAGATCCTGACTGTAAATACTGTTAATAGAAGCATTGGCTCCTCTCTGTTGCGCTTGTTAATTGAGTGTCTTTGCTTTGTAGCCATTGAGCTGCTGCTAAGCCGCTAAAATCAGCTCCCTGTATACCCTGTGCAGAAGTAGGTTTTGAGTAGCAGGTGCTGGCTGCTTGGGTATTACTTTGCCACGTTCCTGTATACTCCAAAATAATATCTTCAAGCAAGGTTTTCATTTTCATTTAAAAAAAAAAAAGAAAAAAAGAAGAATTTATAAATAGGTAGTTGTCAAGTAAAACTTTATTTTATAAAACATATATGTAGGCACGTGTAGACACTCCGTTTGGTTTTGATCCACAACTTGCAAGGTGTTTACCTCTTCCATATATCTTCTAAAACTGTGCTGCTTGCTTAAAAAACAGAAGTAAGGGGAGGGAAAGTAGCGTGAAGTATCCAGAAGACAACAGATGCAGTGAGCAGCCGGGGAGGGGAAGGAGGGAGAAAGCTGCGGAATGAAACTGCGCTCGGGATTGTAGTGAGTAGAATTCAAATGGTAATATTTTCTGTTCAACTATACAGATATTGCCCGTTCTTATAAACTGCAATTTTTTTGGCTAGCGGGAGCCATTGTGATCGTCTTGCCAGGCTTCCTGTACAATCTGGGTATAGAGTTTCAGCAAGTGATTCATGCGTCCAGCCCAGTAATGCTGTTGCTGAAATCCTTGGCAGGGACGCCCGTCTCCCCTGCTGGTCCTGTCTGTTCTGGCTCCTATAAAAAGATCTCCTTCAACATATAACTTTTAGTAAATAAAGTAGTAGTTAATATTGAAAACAAGTAGCAGATGTTGTCTCGTTTGGGATATTTGTGCAGTATCTGCTTGTTTATTTGTGATCAACTGTCATTTCTGTAGCTGATTATTTCAGTTCTAAGAAGTCTTGTTCTACCAAAGCAGCCACTATTCACCGTACTGTTTACTGACTTATCTTCTTGAAAGAAGGTCTGTTTGTTTGACCACAATATTTTCCATTCTTCTTTTTCTTTGCGTTATTTTTCCCCTTACCCATGTGGAATGATCTTTGTTGTAAAGCAAAGATAGTGCTATTGTCATATCTGGAATTGAAAGAAGCCTTTGAACCGTGGCCAGAGTCAGACCACGGTGGAAAAAGATGTCTCTCCAAAACAATATAACTGGCAAATCTCTGTGTAGATTTATAGTGTGATCTTACCATAATATGAGAACGCACTAACCTCCTATTGAACTCAGTGAGAGGAAATGACTAATGCAAGGAGATAGCTCATACAGTATTTATATTGGACAAAAAATCTAAACTATCTTAAGCCAGTTCTGCAGCACGGGAAGTGGAGTCTTTATTCAGTTTCCTACAGAGATGTTGTTAGACACTTTTTAATGAAATAATTTAATAGATAAACCTTTACCTTTGGATACTGCCAAAAGCGTTGTGTTTTATTTAAGCAGATGCTAGTTGTTTTGGTAGAGTGACACTCATTTTGCTTTGGGTATGTGGGATGTGTGGGTATCGGTATATGAAGGCTGGATGTTTCAGGACATTGAAAACCATGCTTAAGCTTAGTTATAAGAATCTTCCTTGTGAATATCTCTATGAGCTTGGCAAAAATGCTCAGTAAAGGAGCTTCATTATCCTTGGCTATGTCTTAATTTCCCAAGCAAAGACACTTACTTCTCTTCTTTGCGTTTTTAGTATCTACATCAGGTGCTGCTTTTTTTTGTTTGTTTTTGCTGTAGATGTAAACTCTGTTTTGCCAGTGCCACGGGACGTTAGGCTTTTACCTACCGACTCAAACTCCATGTGTGAGAACCTTCACCACTAGTTTCTGTAATGGCGGGACAGACTGACATGTATATTAAATAGTATGAGAATGGAAAAGTGTCCACTGTGCTTTTCTTTCATTTCTTTTTTTCGTGAAGTACTTTTCCCCCTTCGTTCACAGATGTCTATTTCCAGACCTTCCTGGGCTTTTTGGTTTTGCGTGTTAAGTTTATTTTCTTCCTATCCCTGGTGGCTATCTTGGTTTACAGAGCAGTTTGTTCCTTACTCATTGTTTTTTCTCCTTTGAGGAAATTGCCAGGGTTTCCATTAGCTTGTAATACTAATAGCTGTGACCTCCTTAGGTATCTGCCTGGTTAGAAGGGATTTTTTAATTTGTGGTAATGTAAATATGCTTTGCTTGCAGCCTACAAATTACTTGGATCAGATAAGGCAGGCAGCAATCTAACCTTTCTGCGGCAAGCATAAACTTTAATTATGCTTATGCCATATAATGTAACAGAGGGGGTAAACTAGAGTGATTTTTACTCTGTTAAGCTTTGTGCATCTGTTTTATTTTTTCAGGTAAGTATGAAATAAATTTTCAGGGTGAGGGCTAGAAGTTATTCCAAAGGCACATGTAGTCAGGATTGAGAGGTGTCTGCATGGAAATCCCATGTTGCTGATTAAAAAGCTGATCATCCTTGCCTAAAGTATTAATTCCTGCTGTGAGTAACCAAGTTGAAGTTGAATAGGCATCTCCTTTTGGCCCCGAGACAAGATGCTGAGCCAGATGGACCTTCAGCCTGACACAGTGCAGACGTTTTTGTGACTGATGTGCGGAAAACTCATCACTTAGCTTGCTGAGGCCACTCCAAATATGCTGATATTGGCCCAGCTTAGACTCTTCTGTTTCTTATCTGCAGGATGAATCAACAGGAGAGATCACCTTCTACATGAAGGGGGCTGATGTGGTGATGGCTGGGATTGTGCAGTACAACGACTGGCTGGAAGAGGAGGTATGGGGCCGTCTCTCCTGCATAGGGAGGGTTTCTCATGCAAGTGCTTTTCTCCTTCCAGGGCAATGCATGACAAGCTTGTCAGTGTGGCAGAGTGGACATAACTGCTAAAACATCTGCAAGCCAGAAGGTCACTGATCTTGGCAATTCATTGGATTAGTCTTCAGCCAAATATATATGCAGTAACAAGGAAGTCAGGGGGCAAGTTCAATATATTTAGTGCAGAATAAGTCCTGTAAATAAAATGGATTTTGCTCAAAACTGATTGCCACTCAAGATCACCAAATTTGTCCTGGGCTTGATCCTGTGTTTGGATTTATTTTAGGCTGAAAGGTCTAATTTCAAAACTACATTTGGCAGCTTTGTACTGGGATATGTTTGTCAGGTTAGTAGTAATGTTGACACAGAGTTCGTAGCAGTAGCTTCAGTTACTGATTCTCCCCACCCCCAAACTCTGGTGTTCAAAGAAATAATAATACCTTGGTCTTATTTTAAAGAGTTTATGGCCAAAGATGTGAAGTCTACAAATCAAAGGCTTGTGTCCTTTTACTTGGAGACAGAGAAAATGAAATCAATGGGGTTGTTTTTGCCACACTGGTATAGCAGAGAGGACATTTTTGTTTCTGATCATTGGGATAGATTACAAACTATTGCAGATCTCCTTTTTTCCTCTCGGGTTTATCATGCACTTTATCAGACATTATAGACTCACGGGGGTTGCTCAAACGGGACGGTTATTTTCTTAACCTGCTATCTTACATTGCCATCTCTGCAATGCTGTGCATAAATCATCTTACTTGAGATGCAGTTTATGGTTTACAATGTGATACTTCTTTCCAGTGTGGTAACATGGCTCGGGAAGGCCTGAGGGTTCTTGTCGTAGCCAAGAAGTCTCTGACGGAAGAGCAGTATCAAGACTTTGAAGTAAGTTTTTAGGGTTTTTTTTTTTCTTTGTTTTTAAACAAACAATCACTGAAGTGATTCTCACAGACCTCTCGTGATAATGCTGCCTCTCATCTCCCTACTCCTGCTAGAATTGTCATTCTTCAATGTCTTGCTGTTCTTTTAATCAAAGTGGCTTTTTAAGTGATATGTATGAAACTGGATCCCAGCCAGGACCCTCCAAAACAGTTCCTGAATCCTGCCTTACAATCTTCTGCGGTTATAAATTCTGCAAATATTCATCATTTGTTAGACAAGTTGTGTTTGTGTGGGGAAATGTGTTGGCTTTTAATTTTCATTGTTGCATTCCGACAGCCAGGGAAACTACAAACAACCAGAATATAACCCAGCTTGGCTTCATGGAAACACGGGCTTCACGCGTGGGGTTTGTTAGACGGGTCTCTACACACAGCACTAACTTGCTTACCCCAGGCAGGCAAAACATGAAGAACTGTTCAGTTAAATGCAGAGATGAGATGGTAGAAATGTTTAGGACTCTCTCTTGCCCTCGTTTGTTCGTCACAGAAGCTGTGGCTAGACCTGTGGTGCGAGGGAGTCGCTTCCAGGCTTTCTGCAGGTGTCGTGTCAGCAGCTGCTGTGCATTTGTGTGCACAAGGACGCGCTGTGCACCGTGCTGCCTGGCTGGCACAGGGCAGGAACAAAATGACAAAAACTTCCTGAAGTATTTTCCACCTTATTCTGTAACACGCGCCTCGTGTTCGCCAGCCATTACAGGTTACTGTCATTACTGAATGACAGTTAACAGAGGGAGGTTAACTGGTTAACCCTCGTGCTGGTTAACCTTGTATTCCACAAAAGTGCAGGCTGGCTGTGTGAGTGACTGTGGCTGTGTCTGCTTTGTCCTCAGGCACGCTACGTCCAGGCAAAGCTAAGTGTGCACGACCGCTCCCTGAAGGTAGCCACAGTCATTGAGAGCCTGGAAATGGAGATGGAGCTGCTGTGTCTCACTGGCGTGGAGGATCAGCTGCAGACGGATGTCAGACCCACTCTGGAGACGCTGAGAAATGCTGGCATTAAGGTCTGCCTAACTTAATATTACTTCTAGCAGGAACACCTAGACCCTCTGCAGTACGTGGCGCTGTCCTACAGACAGTAAATTAAGACAGTTTGGGGGCCCTGTCAAGGTAAACGGTTCACCAGGTGCCCTTTGCAAGTGGGAACAGTGGGACTGGCCGACATCACTTTGGGAACAGAACACGCTGGAAGTAGTAAATGTTAACTAAACACGTGAAAGCATGTCACCTTTTGTGCTTTTCTTCCCCTAACATGCTCTGGCTTCTTCTGCAGAGAAACTGAGTGCGTAGGCAGGAGGGTAGCTACAGGAGACTTTTTGTTTCTTTCAGACGGTTGCATGAAACAAGACCGCTTTGGATGTGTTTGGTCTCTGGTGCACAAACTCCCATGCTGGGGTTGAAGCACTGGGCTGTGAATATACATGTTTTCAGTAGCCACTAGAGGGGGTCTGAGCCAAGAGAATCAGGGACTGGACATTTTTTTTCCAGCTTTCCGGGCTCTGGCATCTGAGACTCAGACACCTACGGCCTGAGCTGTGCTCAGCGGTGAGGGAAGCAGCGTGATGCCTGCTTAGTTTCTCTCTCTGAAAACTTGTCAGTCAGATCTCGGACTTGCAAAAGGAAAAAAAATAATGGACTAAACATTCAGATTTGGGCGAGAAAAGTAGGTAAAAAGTTCTGGTTGTGGTTTCTCTGCTTTAAATAACAAAGTGAGCAAAAATCTTGAGCCGTGCTGTGAATCCAAAGCAGGGCTGTGTGTTTGGGATTTAGGTAGGAACTGGAATTCAAGGCTTGAGACAGGCTTCCAAAAGTGCTTTCTGTTTGGAGCCATCCCTGTAAACAACAGGGACTTCAGCAGAGAAGTAAGATGAGCAGAATCAGACAAAGCTCGTTAGCAGCATTGTGGCTTTCTCCCCATGCAGCATAGTCCAGGCCAGTTATTCCAAAGCAGTTTCATTTTTTTTTTTTCCCTTCACCTTGGCTGGAGTCAGGGTGTGGAGTGTGTCGTCGCACAGCGAGTGCAGCACTTCTGAGCACTCCTTGCAATGGCATGTTCGTTAGGCTATTGCATGCAAGAAGTAAATCAAGAGTGGAGGCAGTCTTATAATTCATTACAGGGGCCATCTTGTTAAGATCAAATCTTTTTCCAACCTCAGATTATTAAACAAATAAGTGAGTCTGTGTGTTTTTTGTTGTTGTTTTTTTTTTAAGGTTCGTTAAATATTCTTGGGCGGTGTCTTGAAAGAATAAGAACACCAGGGCAAAAAACCAAAACAAACTCTGATATATTTACACTGTTGAGGAAATTCCCTGCCAGATTATAACAGGGTATTGCTGCCGAGTATTGCTGCTGACGTTGCTTTCTAATGCCCCCCCCACCAGCACAAAATAAAAGGAGCAGTGTATATTTAAAAAAAAAAAAATCTAAAAAAAAAAAAAGAACCAACTTGGTCTGTTCCAGACGCACACATCAGCAGTGAGCTAACCCCAGTTGCATCATCCACATTTCAGGCAGGGCCATGAGGGATCTTTCTGCAGCAAGGCCTGCTTATTTCAGCGCACGAGAAATAGCTGGGGTGGGACACATTAACACACGCATACACATTCTTTAGCTTGCATTTTGTGGGTTTATCAGCAGAATCTTGAAATATTGCAGGTGTGAAAAATGTTATACATGGTTTGTAATGTAGTTTGCATTTCAGCCGCTTTAAAAGTTTTGCTTTCTTTCATCTGTGAGAATTTCCTTGTATGTTTTAAAATAGGGCTTTTTTAGAAAAATAATTTGTATATATATTCTAACAGTCCTTTTATATGCCTGAACTGGCAGGTGGTACTTCTAGATGTCCTGCAGACATGGTTGTTAAGTTTTGTATTTAATACATTAAATATTTGGATTTTAGGTGTGGATGCTGACAGGGGATAAGTTAGAGACAGCCACGTGTACAGCCAAGAATGCACATTTGGTGACACGGACACAGGACATCCATATATTCAGACTAGTGAGTAACACCCACCTTTCCCACTCTCAAGACTTGTTCGGGACCCCAGATTCTGCAACAGGAGGGGTGCTGAGATCACAACTGTTTTCCAGCAGTAGACCCAGAATATTTTTATTCTTTTTCACCCAGCTTTCTATCCCCTGAGCTTTTGTTTATCTGACTGTGTGCTCTGAATAACTCGGTGTGGTGTCTGTCCATATTACTTTTGCTCCCTCTGAGACTTTGTTTTTTCACCCCAATGAAGCAAACCCTTCCTCAGTTGCCATCTTTTTCCCCAGGTGACTAACCGTGGAGAAGCCCATCTAGAGCTGAATGCCTTCCGCCGGAAACACGACTGCGCTCTTGTTATTTCTGGTGACTCGCTGGAGGTGGGCTCCAAACTCCTCAGGCTGTTCAGGAACAGCCCCAAAACGCTGTGGTTGAATTAGAATTTTTGTTTTTTAAAAAAAGAAACTTTCATAGCACAAACATAGGTGACACTTCTTATCTCTGTAAATTAGGTGTGTCTGAAATACTATGAGTATGAGTTCATGGAGCTGGCTTGCCAGTGCCCTGCCGTCGTGTGCTGCAGATGCGCTCCGACGCAGAAGGCCCAGATCGTGCGATTGCTCCAGGAAAGGACCGGGAAACTCACCTGTGCAGTAGGTAAGGGACTAGTTAGGGAGGAGTGACCATGTAGGATGGTGTCTTTATTTTTTCTTCTTTTGAGTGAACGGTCCCATGTCATCTTATAACACCTGGAAATGCTGAGCTAGGGAACAGTGTTTTTGTGGGATGATTGATAAGATGAAATTTTGCATATGGAAACTTCAGTGACAAACTACTCGGAAATATTTGGGGTGGTGTCTTTGCAAAACAAAGCTTGAACATGATCAGATAAAGTGCCATTGTTAACCTGTGAGCTCTATTTCAGCATTGTAGGTATAATGGTGCACCTACAAGTCAGATAAAGTGATCAGTAGCCTTGAATTCCTGTGCGTCTATAAAAAAAACTTCTTAAAGAATTTAAATTCCCAATTTCTATTTAAAATCCTGCTTTTGTTGATAGGGTTCAGTGCTTCTTCTAGTATTACAGTCCGGTGCAGATGCATTTGGTGGGGTTGCAAGTTGCCTCTGTTGCTTAACTACCAATGTCGTTTGTCTGTGCTCTGACCTGCAGGTGATGGAGGGAATGATGTTAGCATGATTCAGGAGGCTGACTGCGGTGTTGGAGTTGAAGGAAAGGTGAGATTACCTCATGTTTAATAAGACTTCCTATGGCAATTCAGAAGCTAGTTTGCAACTACCTCTTAAATGAATCCTCAGAAATTCGTGCAAGAAAGTGAGAAGCTTCCACAAGAATAATCATCAGACCAGTAGCCTTATCATGAAAAATAATTTGGCTGGAAGGGAGACTACTGTTTAACAGAGTTCAAGTTCATTATTTGGTTCTTGGCAGATTCCCTGAACTTGGACCACTGTGGTTAGTTTTGGGGTTTTTAATCACGCGTAGATGCTTCAAATGCTGGAGTTGTAATTACTCTGATAACATACACCCTACATGTACAATTAAAAACGGGTTATATTAGTTTAGAAAGCAAACTCTGGGTTAGAGCTCTGGTTCCTGCATATGGAGCTGTTTGGAGCAAGAAGACTGGATTTGGCGGCAGTGGAAAGACTCTGCTTGCAGTGAGCCAGAACGTTAAAATTGAGTGAACTTTTGAGACTGAAAATTTCTGTTCAAAACTGACTTGATAGGAGTGTCATGTTAACATGCGTGTTGTGAATCATAATCCAGAGGGTTGCTTAGAATTGGAGGCCAGGGTTCAAATGGGAATTCTCCTCATATTTTTGCTCTTTGCTTAAAAGCCACGGTGGAAGGCAGAAGTGCTGAGGTAATACTCTCCCCCACCTAATGCATTGCAAATTTTCTTGGAAATTCTGTCAGTGATAACTAAATAATGATAGGATATTTCTTTGTTTCTAATAATGAAATGATCTCACTATGCTTTTACTTGCTATTGTACACAGGAAGGAAAACAGGCATCACTTGCAGCCGATTTCTCTATCACGCAGTTTAAACATCTGGGTCGTTTACTAATGGTGCATGGAAGGAACAGTTACAAACGGTCTGCAGCTCTCAGTCAGTTTGTAATCCACAGGAGCTTGTGCATCAGTACAATGCAGGTAAATGAACTGTCATGAGGGCTTTTCCAATGGAGAGGTAAAAAAGCAAAATCAAAAAGTAAAGGTTCTGCATTTCATTTTGGATGCAACTATTTCTTCTGAAAATTTTCACGGGTTGGAACTTGAGGTTGTTACCTGGGTATGAAAACACCTAAGAAAGTTCCTGGTATTGGACAAACATTAGCAACTTCTCCAAAATTGGACAAACAGTATTCTACCTTAGAAAACACTGCTGTGATGCAGCATGTCTTTGCTGTCATTTAGTAATGCTAGGAAATACTGAAAATCTGCAGCAGGGCACTGCTCTTAAGGACGGTCTCCGCTGAGTCCGTGCACTTCTGTTCAGGTGTGTTTTAAGTAAGGCCTTCGAATAGCAAGACCAAAGTTAAGCAACTGAGGAGGACCTGGCTCAGACCCTGATGAGGTTACCGAAAGCTCGGTCTGGCATGCTGTGGAGTGTTCGCAAGAGCCATGCTGCAAAGGCTGCTGAAGCACGTATTAAGCTTCCCAAGTGCTCAGCAGCTTGCTGCAGCAACGTGGAGGTGGTCTGTTCCTCTCTGTTTCAAAGGGAACCTTAGAAACAGATTTGGTATTCACAAAATTTAGGTTGTTCATGTGTGCTGAGCCTCAGTGTAACAAAAATGCAATTGCCAGTTGGCAGGGAGAGTTGAAAGAGATTTTAAGAGTTCGTGAGCCAAATTCCATTCTTAGCTGTGGTGACTTGAGTGAAAGTTACAGTCAAGGACAGAGGTTACTCTTTGGGAGTTGCATTTCCACGCCATAGTGTACTGATATATTCCTTAAAAATACTAAGTTTTTTAAAATAAAATACTTGATATTTTTGAGAAGGCTGGTTCTGCCCTCTCCCCTTTTTAGAATAGACACGTTGGAGAGGGATGCATAGAGACAAAAGGTTCAAACTCAGGGGACAGTCTAGCTTACGCTGCAGCTAAAAACAAGAACAGAAAACAAACCCATAACTTCTGACAAAAAAAAAATTAATCTTGAACTCTTTAGAGTTTGTATTAGTGAGTGTTAACTCTTTACATTGTGAAGGCATCATCCAGGCATAAATAAGTACACACCTGTCCTTCACAACATCTGGACAGCTTTAATCAAACCAGTGGGCTTTGGAGAAAACTCTTTACGTTCTTTTCTGTGGAACTACATTATAAAAAGTTTTCCAAGTCCAGCTCTCCAGTGTTTGCTATTAAACATAGCTTTCATCCAAGGTTTGCGTAGGAATAAAAAGGGTTGATATTACATTCTTCTGTCTTCATTTCAGGAATTTGGAGAACCCACTGCAAGTACGTTCCAGTTTGAACAGAGTATATTTTTAAGCTGTTACTTTTACTGCAGTATCTAATGCCTGAAAAGCTTATTTCTTTTCTTTTCTAGGCTGTTTTCTCATCAGTATTTTACTTTGCTTCAGTTCCTCTCTACCAAGGCTTCCTCATCATTGGGTAGGAGCTCACTTTTTACTAATAGTCTGGAAAACCTGTGCATAATGAATAGATTTGGGCTAATTAACATGCAAGGCATGCACATCTCCACTCTGCATGTTTCACAACACTGCTTCAGAAGATGGATGTGATCCTTGTCCCCTTTCTGCTCCTCTGCACTGAGCAAAGCCACCGAGGCAGCACAAGTACTTCTAGAAGCCTTTCCAAAAGGACAGTTTATCACATTCAGAACACGAGAAGCAAGCCATCCTCCAGGAAGCACTCCTTCCATCCTAGTGAAAAGCAGAGGGACAGTCGTCATGCTCTGGGGCCTGCGCAGCAGTGGGAGAAAGGGGGGACAACCCAACTTCTTTAACAGGAGGAATCAGTTCCTGTCTAAAATATACTGGGATTACACTTGTAATCCCATGACTTTATAGATTTTCGAGGACATAATTAAAAAACAAACAGCAAATTCATCTCCATTGCCTTCTGATGCAAACAGGATTAAGCCTGAACTGTAGAGCAAACTTTGGGGTGGGGACAGGTCTGTCCTTGGCTCCATTAATAACCCTGTAAGACCAGTTGCAATACTTGAACCAATCATCTGTGTATGAGTGTTTCTAATCAAAAGTCATTCAAAAAGCAAATCCTGCAGGTTTTTCCTACATGCAAAACTCTGGTGTGTTCCATTTGCAAGTTTTTATAATATGTACGTCATTTGGCACTTCAAGAATACTGTATTTCCTTCCTGAAGGCTAGCATTTCTGTTTGCTCATCTACACCTTAGATAATTTACTGGTCTTCTACCTTCTTCCCAGGTACTCCACAATTTACACGATGTTTCCAGTGTTTTCTCTAGTCCTGGACAAGGATGTTAAATCTGAAGTTGCAATGTTGTACCCAGAGCTCTACAAAGATCTTCTTAAGGTGTGGGAGACTCCTGTCTGTTTTGGTTTAAGACAAGATTCCTGTCTTGATTTGAAACTCTCTAAATGTGTAAAGTCTCATATATTATCAGTAGATAGAGAACTTTATCATACGTTTTCAAGCAAAATTGTTTTAAAGGCAAATTTGAATTAACAGATACAACCAGATTTCCTGGCAGTTTGTTACTGAAAGCTACATGAAATGCAATTTATTAGAAACGGCTGGGGAAATAGAAGTTCCATTCTGTGGGAAATTCTAAGGATTTAATATTACCGATTTGTTCCAAAATAAAGGGGAAAGAGAAATCGTCGGGGATTTGGCACTATCCTGAAGCCAGAAGAGGGGATGGAGGGAAGTGATATGCTCATTTGATGGAGGGAGGAGGTTATCACATAGTTTTGTGAATAGAAATTTGCCTTGAGGATGATCTAAAGGGACCTAAAGGTTTGGTTGCTGTGCCATTTTTGTAGCTTTAGCATGAAAGTCAGGTCCTTCTCCTTAGACAAAGAAAACTTTATTTGATAGTGATATCAGGAAGGTAAATCTTGTCTTAGGTTCTTTTTTTTTTTTTTTTTTCCTGGAAAATTTTTTGAATAACTGGGTTATGCAGACTGGGAACATCTTTCTTAATTGAAGGAAAGGGTGGACTGAGTCTTCAACAGATCCTTTCCCTCAAGGATTTCTGTTAAACAGATACTCTCAGAAGCAAAGCCTGTTTTTCCAACAGCCTGAATAAGTCTCCATCTGGTTTCACTTGTATGTTGTCTCTTATGTCATAAACCACTAATTCTCCAACCATCCTTAGGCCTGGTCTAAACATAGGGGGTTTTTTGTACTGGTATAGCTGTGTTGGCTAGAGATGCTTTTTTTTAAAACCTATCTGCCTTCAATATGATGGTGATTTGTGTGTATGTGTCTAGAAATATAATATTAATATATTCATATATGTGTATACACACATCTTATATTTCACAGTACAATGACTAAACTCATGAGACATCTTTGCATTGAATTAATTGTGTGTGCAGTAAGGAAGAGATTGTACTGTACTGTGCAAGCAGTGAGCTTCCACAGTCCCAGGCCTCCTTCATGCATCATGAAAAATGAGAATAAAGAGACAGTACCTCAGGGTTGGTTGATTTGTTTTGTTTTCTTTCTAAATCACCTTCAAATTCTCTTTTATTAATTGCTGGGTTGATTGGTAAGTGAGTGTTCATAAAAGAAAACCCAATGGAGCTTTGACTTTTTTTTTTTCTCTTCCCCCCACCCCAGGGACGACCGTTATCATACAAAACATTTTTAATATGGGTCTTAATAAGCATCTATCAAGGTAAGAAATTAACTTCTCCTTGTGCCTTTAGATGTTTTAATGAGTACAGACTATCTAATTTTTTGTATTGCAGGAAGTTAAGTAAGGCATGAATTGAATTTAGCAATGCATCCTCAGGATAATGAATAAATATTTTTTTTTTGTCTCGGAAAATGTTGGCAGCGTTACCAAAAGAAGAAATTATCTAAAACTAAATATTGGCAGCAACTGGTCAACCTGTTGTAGGCAATGATGTAGAAGTTCAAAGCATTGTGCCTCTTCCCATTGGGACCATCCTTTGTAATTTTGTGCAAGTTCCTTTCAGTGCTTTAATTGCTCCATCTGTAAAGCAGAGTTTGTGACTCTTCCCTTCTTTTGAAAAAGGTTTTCAAACCTATGGATTATACGGGTTGTTAAGTCAGCACGCAAAATACAGAATCTGTAGCTTTGTGTATTTTATCTAAACCCTGTCTATTAGAAGTGGCAATAGTTCTGGTTACTTCGTAGCCATCTGTAATGAAGGACTAGAGTAGAGCTCAGGTGCTTGATCATATCCCATACATTCTAATTAGGCTGCTGAAACAGTTAAGCAAATGCCTTAATTACAATGCATCTATTTTCCAAAAGTGGATGTAGTAACTGGGGTATATGTCTAAGAAGGTCTTTCCTTTCAGTTTGTCTTTTTTTTTTTTAATCAAGTAACCTCAAACTCAAATACTTTCTATAAGTGCTAGTCAGGGAATCATGGAAAACGTAAATAATGTGGAGCTATAAAGCTAAAATGGCAATATGATTCTGTGACAAAATTTCTTGTTTTCTAAAACTCCTTTATCAACAAGAGTCAGAATAAATGTGCCAAAATAAGCAGCTAATTCTTACTGTTTTAATTTGATATTACCATCCTCAGGAGGGAGTGAAACCAAGAATATAAAAGCTCTCCTGGCATTATCTTCTGAAATCTATTATGGTAGAACCCTACGACAGGGATAATGGTCTTCTGATGCTGTACAAATATGATGGCAAAGCCAAGGCATTTATAGAAAACTCACAAGTGGTGGAAAGCTAAAGCCAGAGGGTGATGCATTGAGGGAAAGATTTCTTCTTGAGCTAAGACCACTATCTGGTTACAATATTTGGTTAAAGTGACTTCACTTCTGATGTGCTAAATAACTAGAAAACAGCAGGCCAAACAATTGGGCTAGTTGCTAGCAGAGATGAGCCTGACCAAAAACTTGAGCAGTCCTAAATTTTGGAAAGTTCACAGCTGGATTTGAACTTTGTGGCTCGAGCTCTAGTCACTTGCAGGTTTTCCCTTCCGAAACTAGCCTAGTGTGATGGATGTTGGTGCGGATTACTCATGCTGCTAACATGAGTTATTTGTGCAGGTGGCTGTGCGGGGCGTTGTGAGCATTCCTTGGCTAGCCAGAATAGGAGCACAAAACAATGCATCGTTACCAGTGCTTTAATGTGTACTGCTTTTAGGGGGAAGTGTAAAGGGGAGAGATCTTGGCCGAAGTAGTGCAAAGAGAGGCTAATTTGTATCCACTGAACTTTTCAACAGCTTGCTTCCATCTGGGCACTGAGGCAATGCAGTAGGTTTTAGAAGTATTTGATATCTTTTAGCTTCTGAGTAGTGACCGACTGCTTTTCTGGGAGGATAGAGTTTCGTGATGTTAGAAATCTCCAGTTGCCAAAATAGCGTGTATTAATTTCCTATCTCCATGTGTCTATGAATATGATAGACTGTTATAAAAGTCTGGGCACCTCTGCTGTAACTTTTCCCTGTCTTCTCATCAGTTCTGTCTCCTAAATAGTAACTGATTCATTATCATTACATTCATCAGGTTTCATGAAAAATAGTCTCAAGACATGATTATGTTTCAGCCTTTCCAAGACTTAGCAGTGGGTTTTAGAGCTTAGACTGGTGTTTGAATAAAATACCCAAATGTTCCATTCCTTTGCAGGTAGCATCATCATGTATGGAGCACTCCTCCTTTTTGAATCTGAATTTGTCCACATTGTCGCCATTTCCTTCACGTCCTTGATTCTCACCGAGTTACTGATGGTAGCTTTGACAATCCAGACGTGGCACTGGCTCATGATAGTGGCTGAGCTGCTTAGTCTCTCCTGCTACATAGCTTCTCTGGTCTTCTTACATGAGTTTATTGGTAAGGTTAAATGCATTTTCTCCAATCAGTTGGTTTATGACCTGAATAATAACAGGACTGTAAGGACATGAATTGAGTTTAAAGGCTGTTGATGAAGCCAACATAATTACAATCACAGTGGTTCTGACCAGAATAAGCTCTATTTGATTTGAAGGCACCTGAAATTTTATGGTTCCTTCTCATAGCAAAATGCTAGAGGAGATAAAGGTGGTCAGTAAACTGTGTGCTGCTCGGTGAATCTCATCCTTAACTTTCAGAGCTCCACCACGCATCAGCTGTCATGTAATAGTGGTCTTTATTTCCATATGAGAACTGAACTTGAGACTAAAAATTTTAGCCTCTGTTGTTGGGTTGAAAGATTTCATCTTTTAACTGGGTGAAGTAGCTGCCTCCTAAAACTTACCTTATTTTATCTGCTTCATTGGGGCCCTTCTCTTGTGGGTTTTGGGGCTTTTTGGGGTTTTTTTTGTTCGTTTGTTTTGGTCCCGTTCCCCCCCCGCCCCCAAAAGAGCCCACTATTTTCCCTGGCTGAAGGAAAAAGAGTGAGGAATTCCAGATTCCCCTGGTAGCTGTCTAGTTGCAAATATCAGATCCGTAGGGTTTGTGCCAGTGTTCGTTCAGGAACCACAAGATGTCACTACTTCTTCCATAAAACTCTTTGCTAACTGAAGACAATGAGGATAACTTCCCAATGGGCTAGATCTGGATCTCTTGCATATGAGTATACCAGCTCCATTTTGAAAGATGCTTCAGCTATTTTTGCAATGATTCTGAGGTATTATAACTGAGCCAAGAGATGCGTTTGCTGGACTACCAGCAAAGTAGCCGAGGGCAACTTCCAGAGTCAGAAGACAAGTAGTCCATTTAAAGGAAGCTTAGTATTGCCAGGAGATGGATAGCCCTGTTTCAGATGGGGTATGTATGGGCACTTGCCTGTGAGGAGTTGCATGCCTTACTGAAACGTACTGTGCAGAAAGCTGCATCTTTTGTGGAAGAGAAGGGCAGAAGAGTGAGGAACCAGGGATCGTATGAGCTTTGAACTTGCATGTGGAGAAGGTGAGGCTGTTTAAGAAGTGTTGGTAGATTGAATTGCTTTTCTACACCTCTTCCCAGAGCATGCTTCCCATCTTCATTGACTCTGTGCTCTTTTCTTTTTGCAGATGTTTACTTCATTGCAACTTTGTCGTTCTTGTGGAAAGTCACCGTCATCACTCTGGTGAGCTGCCTTCCCCTCTACGTCCTGAAGTACCTGAGACGAAGGTTTTCTCCCCCAAGCTATTCGAAGCTGACATCCTAGGGCTGCTGCTCTTGCACACCAGAGACAAATACTGCACATAGCTGAGAGACAAAATCATGTAGTCGTTACTATAACGAATACGTCCGATATTTGCATAAGGATCATGTGGTAATCTCTATTACATGCTGCTTTATTGAAAAAAGACTTCACAACTGCTGTGAACAGAAACCTAACGATAAAAGGGAATTTTTTGGAGGGTGGAGGCACTTGTTAGTTCATCCAGTTCTTGTCACTTTTGTTCAACTTAACTGGGGTCAAATGCACGTAACTGTGATGATGATGGGTTTCTCACGCATGGTTAAAAGTATCTGAAAGCTGCTAACTGACCTTGGAATTTACATTTGACAAATTTAAGTTACTTTTTTAAGTATCTGTGCTGTTCCTTGCATTGTGTTATGTTGTTTTATATTATTTATCTTTTTGATTCAAGTAGTTACATTCTTTTTACATCTTGAAAATCCCTTAACGTAGGTGATGCACTCTACTGCTGACAGCTGATTCCTGATTTATGGCATGCTGTTTCCATAATGGGGCTCCAGCATGTCGGATCTACACACACTTGAGAATCTGAGTGTGTTTGAGACTTTCCTTCAGTTGAAATGTGGTCACCCTAGTGATTTTGGAGGTATCCAGCCATTGATAAATACGGAGAAATACAGTCCAAAATTGAAGAAATTAAGTTTTGTTTAGCTTTTGTGCTTCCTGTTAAAAGGAGCTGGTGATATAATAGCTTTACTCTGTATTTATTTGTATAGGAGAAAATTATATAAACTAAAGCAAATCCTCTTTGGAAAAGAAATTTGCAGTTGATCAGACTTGAAATGTGTCGACAACGTGAGAAGAGACTCGTACTGTTCTGCAGACAATGTGGCAGACGTGTCTTGAATCCTTGGAGACTAAAAGGAAAGGTCACAGAGCTGCTACTCCTCACAGCTACACTAAATCTGTTTCCTGTTAGGGTGAAACTGTGAAGATGAGCTGCAAATGAACTGAGGCACTCCTAGGTGGATGTTGCTCATGACACGCTCCCTGCAGAGAGGCAGTTTTTGAGAACCTTGCACTTGCTTTGCTCTAAAAACCAAACTTGAATCACAGAGGCAGGAGTGGGGTTCGTATGAATGCGTTAGGCTGGTGTGCAGAGCAAATTTACTTACTGTTATAAAACTTAATGAGTTCTGTTTTTATAGTAAGCATTGGCCCACATTATAACACCGTGAGGAGAGCAACACATACTTAGGCTGCTCAGGAGAATGACAGAGAGTTACGGGAACCTTTTACCATTGGGTCCATGCGTCAAACATGGATGAGCTTTTAGTGGCAGCCATCCTCATCTGTTTAGTCTGTGCTAAATTAGTTGCTTGCTGTCTCATTCCCACATCATAAAAACCACCGTCAGAGCTGGCACTGCTTGGCGCCGTTGTTGGTTGGCTGCGCGGAGGCACCAGGAACGGCAGAGCCCAGAGCCTGAGCTCCCTTCTGCTCTCTTAAGGCAGCCCTTCCGGGTCAGGGCAGCCGCACTGGTGTGAGGAGCAGAAGCTCCCTGGTCCGTCTCTGTGCTATGCTGAACCTCTTTAATGGACTGCCAGCTTCTGTTGGCATTCCACTGTCACAGGCAGCACAATGCTGCATTAAAAGGTCTGGTGTGAAAATCAGTGGAAAACGGAGTGTTGCTTTAAAAGAGATGGAGTCTGTGTTGACCCATAGTGGTACGTCTTGAATTTTCACATCTAAGATAGCCGTGGCTTGCATGGTTGATGTGTGGTAATTGCTCCGGGGAATGTTTTGCACAACCTGACCTGCTTTCCTTGCTCTCAGTTCCTGTGAGTAAATATCAAAGAGGAGGGGAAGCAAGTTCCAGAAGATTTAAAGAAAAATTGGATGTGCTTCATAATGCATGTGGCTTGGGGTGAGTGGAAGGTGCAAGTCCATATGACCTTGTCATTACTTCATGTGGGGTAAACCCTCTTGATGTTTCAAAATCCTTCAGGAATAAGAACAGCAAATGCTCTTTAATCTAACGTACTGTTTTTTCTTTTGTGCCAGTCTTCTGGTTAGACTCTTGTCTGAAGTCCTGATAAATAGCAACAAACTTTAGAAACGTCCTACTGACTAAGGAAGGATAATTCTTAATATTCACCTTTTCATAATATTTTGAAAATTTGCCTTTCTTTCCTGGTCTTCTAAATTTTTTTCCTAATAATAATAATATATATTTCTGCCCGTTTGACACGCATGTTCATGTTGGGAAAGGCCCTAGAAGTCTGACGCTTCTCAGTGATTTGTCTCACGGAGGAAAAGCAGTGCCTGAACAGCCCATTTGTGGGGGAGTTGGGCTAACAGCCTTTTGTGACTTATGCCACTTTGCCAAAAAGATACTTAATGTTGTCTTTATCGTGACTTGCTACATCTCCTGGATAGTGTCGGCCATGCAGGTGTTCTGGAGTCCCCAGTCAGCGTTTGATTTAAGTAGATTTAAACAGAAGAAACAAGAATTTCTTTTGGCAACTTCTTCTGACTGAGAAGTCAAGTCCCTCTTGTCCATTGGCAAACCCATCGCTGTACACATCTTTGTGAAGCCCTGTCCCTATCTAGTGTGTATTAGTAGTTAAATGTCCTGCAAGAATAACAGTGCCATGCTACTATATGTAAATATTTGAGACGTATATATGGTAGAATTCACTGTTTCCTGAAGTCAATACAGTTTACACTGAGTGGACCATATTTGCAAAATATTAGCTTACACCAAGAAAGGGAGTGAATTGTGATTTTGGTGATATTTATTGAATCATAACTTTAATAAGGAACGTATATTTAGTGGAATTGATAGTAATCTGTAGCTGTGTTTTGGGGTGCGAATTATATTCCTTTGCAGCTAGTTTTTTTTTGCACAAGGTTGTAAATCCAGGAAGTAATTTCTGTCTGGGTATACACTGCATTTTTTTTAAAAGCAATCAGAAAATTAAAACTGCCATCTAACAAACAGCAGGAAAGAGGAATGATTGTTGTATTTTTCAAGTTTAGCACTTTATGTCTGCAATCTATTTCTCTTAAGTTATTTAAAAAATGTTTTTAAAAGCAAAGTTTAATACATATGTTCATACTTACTGTACATTTGAATAAATGGATTCTCTGCTGGAAATTTAATTTAATCTTTTTCCTCTAGTATGCTCATAACTTGTGCTTATTGGGAATGAAGCATTGTTTTCTTCTTCTATGTAGTATCTTGTTTGTAGCCTTACTTAGTGTTCTTCCTGTTCCTTTTTTTTGTTCTGGTTTATGTACTGTAGCAGTTCATATAACTTGTGTGCTTTGGGACTGTGCTCCAAGTGATGCTGTAGGGTAGCGGTGTATGTCTCACAGTGTGCTGCTCTTGCTTCCCATGGCTGTTCTAGGGAAGCCAACGCTCCGTGCTGTGCTGCTGCAATGGTTAGTTAACGTGGAGGTTTTGTTACATGCACTGTTCTCTTCTTGCATCTCTGCAGTAATTGCAGGTGTGTTGCAACCCTCTTCATTTTTTTTCTTTAACTCTGTATTTGTTTCCTCCGTAGGGCTTGTCCTGTTTATCTTTGCAAACATTTGTTTTGTTCAGCTCATAGTGCAACTGAAATGCAACATTCTTTATTGAACAGCAGCAGCTTAAATCTGTGCAGGGTCTGATCAGAACTGGGCTGGGGAGCGATGAGCGACATCCCTGGTGTCCCCTCGGTATTGAGAACTACATGCTGAGAGCTACAGCTGTGGCTGGACCAAACTGAGCAGCACCAAAGGCGTTGGTTTTCTGTGGTCTACTGAACTATCACAATTAAATGCCCTGACAGCCTCTCTCGTCCTCTGCAACTGCTGAGGAGAATTTTGCTATAGTTGAGCTGAGTTTGTGAGGGAGCCCCAGACAGTTAGATGTGTGAATCCCTAAAGCTTGTCTTTTGGCTTTATCTTTTGAAGAAAGTTGCTGCACCATCTGATGCATCATAAATCCTTGGTTTGCACAAGCGGTGCTCTAAACCACGTATGTGAACTACTCTTGCATGCAGCTCACCGTCACAAGTTCTTTGCGCACGACTGTTTGGATGGGGTTTGACTCATCTCCACAGTTGCTGGGGCCAGTCCAGTGCCCACTAAAATCTTCAGCGTGAGCCGAATGGGCTCTTTTTTATTTATGATCAGTTATTTCATAATTAATAAACTCTTTGATTTGCGTGAAATCCGGGGTTCTACAGCTTTGCCAATATGGTCCATTACCACTGCCTACTACAACTTGTGTACTTACATGCCTTTGAGAACATTTTTAATTGTTAAAATTGTTAAAGAATGAATGTGAAGTTAATTTAATTTTTAATTGGGGAAATGGGTTCTGGTGTCAAAATGATATTTACTGTGATGCCAATGTTTTGTACCTGTCATCTAGTTAAACAATGTGTAAATACTCTTGATTCAAGAGAAATATGAATGCCAATTATTTATTGTTCTGTGGAGTTATATGTTGCAGATGTGTAAAAACTTAAAAGGGGAATGTTGTAAAACAAGGTGGAAAAATAAATTTTATGCAACTTCTTTACTTCATCCATATACACCGTGTATGATGCACCTGAGTTAGTCCTGGCGTGATCAGTCCAAGATGTGTTTTGCCAGAACTGTAAGTATATAGGTTAAGTTGTTTGGCCCTTTAACTTGTCTGCGTGGGAAATGCATATCCAAGAAATGGTCAGTACTTTCTGCTGATCAGTGTGGACCTGCTTCAGTAATTTCTTTGTTATAAACAGTTTTCTAACAGTCTTAACAGGAGGGAGTTTTTGGGGGGAGGGGGTTGATTGTTGATTTTTCTTTTTTTTTTTTTAATAAGTATTGGTGTAAGCTTTTGCTGCCCTTCACTTTATCAGTGATTTCTTGCAAGATTGCTTTCTGCAAGTCGTCACTGCAGTCTAATGGTGTGGATTAGCTCCGTGGAGCACAGAGGCTGCAGCTGGGCACGGGCAGGCTGCTGGCCCGCTGCCGTCCTGCCA